ACATGACAACATTCGAAAGACTCTTAGCTTTTCATCTTAGTGATAAACGATACACAACACTTTGTTAAAGTGCAATGATTTAACCACTGATACCTTACGTTCCACGTTGGAACATTTTGATTTTAATTTTCTTTTGCATATCCATCCTGTGGGTCTTGTAAAGTTATGCTTTTTATCCCATCTTACACCATTGAACCATTGAATCCCCGGAGAAACTGCATATTTTGCTATTTTTGCGATAAACCACAATAACACTGAAATGCATTTTATTATCCGTACGCAGCCTGTACATTTCCCTTCATATTGAAACTTATGAAGTTGGATACTCTGTTCAGTCGATTGTTCAAAGCAACTGGACGCTTGCGTGACCGAAATGTATGCTTCTCTCATAGGCTGTGCTGGATGATCATGATTGTCAAGTCTTGATGTTATTGTTGCTGAATATAGTGTCGCATGCACAGTTCCTGCAGCCTTCCTTCAGTTGGAGTCAACTCGGTTGACGGCCAACTACTTGGTTGGTTGGTTACTGAACTAGACGACCAACGTTTGGTGTAGTTAGAAATTCACTGCTGGTTGGCACCCAACATTTGTGTAGCAACAACTATGAGTGTGTGAAAGAAGCAAAGCACAGTAATATGTGGATGGTGTCAAATCTCCTTTAACCTCCAGGGAAACTCAAGCAACCCATCATGTCTGTGGTCGGTTCTGCCTTGGGTTAGTAATCATATCGGTTGACTGAAACATGAAACCGCGAAGAAAAAGCGTATGATTTGAGATTTTCCCGAATATCTTTTGAAATTCGCACAAGATATTCACGATTCCTTACTACAAATTAAAGTCTATTCAGCATAAGCAGTTATTCAAATTAGAGTATATATGACCTAGCGGTGTACAGATTAACATAGGAAGCTCTTACGGCATCTTTCCTAGACACTTCTCAAACTTAACAGTTGCCCCTACGAGAAAATCGAAGTGGCCCACAACATGCATGTGTGAACATAATCCAGCATGGTTGGCGGCATCCGGTTTCGGATTTGCCTGTCACTGTGGCCAGCCACAGGACGTCTGCGCCTACAGAGGGACCATGGATGGCTTGCGCTGCACCACCCACAGCTCCAACCACACACTCCATATCCAGTGTAAACGCGAAGGAATAAGACCGGGAGGCAAGCGGATGGGAGCCAGGTTTCATCAACGGAGCCGGCCCACACTCCTTCACAGGCAAACACAAGCATGCTGTATTTGGGGAATCAAATGCACACAAGACAGTGGCTGGACCGTAGTCCGCTCCACATTGAGTGCAAGGAACGATTCTTCGAGTCTAGCAGGGCCACTAGGACCGTGCATCTCGTCCCCTCCAGTAACGACCAACTGTCTCCTGCAGCCAGTATGAACGAGGTAGTGGGTAATAGACAGGTATGCACCTAGTCAACATGCATATCAAGTGCCGCCACACCTGAGATGTCAAACAACAGCCAATCATTCGAAATGCCGATATCAAATAAAGATATCTAATAACGTATACGTACATGACGACATAAACTTTCGCTAACTGAGCACATGGAGTAAATTGATTACAAGCGAATCCGCGCAAAGTGCAAAATGTCCGAAAATTATTGAAAAATACCACCTGATAAAGTTACGCAAGTTTACCACAACCAGCATGAGCGACGTGTGCAAGTTAGGAGAAAATTATTAGGTACGCAGAACAAACCAAATAAAGTGAAATGAATTTTATCCACATTAAAAATACCAACTGTCTCCAGGAACCAGTATGGACGAGGTAGTGGGTAGTAGACAGGTAGGCACCTTGACAACATGCGCACCAAACGCAGCCACTATGGGGATATCGAGCAACAGCCAGTCACTTAAAACGACAAGATGAAATAACATAAATCGGATAATGCATACAGATACGGCGGCATAACTCTTCAAGAAATGGGCGTATACAATAAATTTATTACGGACGAATCCGCGATATGTTCAAGAGGGCAGAAAATATATTTTAAGGAAATTACACAAACGCAAAAATGTTATCGCTGTTAACTTCAATTAGCTTCAGCGACGTGTGCAAGTTTATAGAAGATAGTTTACGTAGACATTAATTTGAGCAAGAAAAGCATTAGGACAACATTGCAAAACCACCACCTGAAACAAAGAGGCTTAGCATGAAAACACGCGGTTAGTAACTCGAATGCAGCGTACCTACAAACGCTGCGCCGGTTCTGCCTATATTCTCTGCAGGACCGGTCGTCGTTTCGGTGGTGGTCCCGAGTGGTCTCGCTCATGTCTCCCTAGGTCTGTCTGACTCAGATACTCACGACCACACGTGCTACAGCACCAAGCGCTCGATGTCGTTGGAGTACAACCCATCGGCGCCTGCAGCTGCCGCACTGGCCACTTCTTCTCTGCATGTATGAGGTCTTTCTCCCGCACTTCAACAACTGCCTTCGTGATCAGATAGAGCCATGCATGCCGATCGACCGCCTACACGCCGATCAACCGCATGCAGGTGTTAGAAAAGACACCCAGGTCTCATTCAAATGTTATTCCCATCAAAAGAGTTGCAAACGGATTACTTTATATATTTTTTCGTCATTTTACCATCGTCGTTTTATATGCCAACCAGAGATGACATACATCTCAGCTAATGTCCTGCTATAAAATGTAAGCAGTATTCTGGAAAAAGGCAAAATAACTTACCGGACTAATACAACTTCAGTAATATACTGCCTTGTTTTTGTGGTGCATTGTGAGGAGGAACAAGCGGCACAGGAACAAGGAATCTCAAAACGCAACCTAAGCAGAAGTCCACTCACTTTCATGTCAATAATTGTTTCTAACCAGATATGTTTGACGTTATTGGGACCCCAAATTTGGAGTCGAGAGGAAGCAACCGAGACCAAATTGTAAGTGCGCGCATCCCCTATTCTTGGCGAGCTCATCGGTTGGACTCCCTCTTCTTCTTCTACCCAGATCCCGGTCACACAAACAAAGCATGTACCGGTGGTCGGTGTGCCGACATACGCAACACATGATCCAACCATCGGAGCATGATGCGGAAAATGACGTCGCCTAGCTGCCCAGTTGCTATGCAGGAGTAAAAGCAATGTTGTGAACACACTCATTGCTCTCGTGGTATTTTTCCTGGATGTGAACTAAGCTGTAGAGGCACTTGTAGTGGAACCCAACTATCCTGCTTACGTTTGTCGACTTATTCCAAAACCTACAGGAGTGTGAAACGTCAAGCAGCATTGAAAACTTCAGGCTTCGTGAATATGTTCGTGATCTCATCTTCAATTTCAAAAGACGCTGATATAACTGCCTTGTTAGTTGAATTACTGAACAACAGCAGGGGTCAACCCAGTGGTTGTTTGGAGCGTCGCTTACTGGCCTCTTTTCTTGATGGCCAATGGACTATAGTTTCTATCATTTAAGGCTTGGTCAGCACAGTGCAGATCGATTCCGCTAGCCAACTCTGATCCGACAACCGAAACAAGGTCGGCTCAGTTGTGATGACTCCTGTCGTCCTGAGAATAATAACATTTGACAATAGTGAAAGCCATAAGAAAAACGTAGAACAAAGACGAGTCTAGAGGGGGCACAAGTGAGGTCGAAACTAATCTGATCGAGCTGATAAACTGCAACAGGGAACGATTCTACAAATGCACCATACCGTGTAACATTACCAAGCACCGCAGTGGACGACCTCGACATCCCATTTAAGAATGCGCCGGGCACCAGGCCAATCAGATCCCTAGTTACTTTATTTCGAATCAGTTGCTCCGTAAGCGATTGACGGAGCAGGGACGCTACTGAACTAGGTGTAGTGACCTTGAGCACTCTATACTAAGGAAATACGTTGGACATCTCTTGGCCAGTTCAAGCGGTACAGACACAGAAGTCACTACGCCGGTAGTCATAAGGTGTGCATCAAACCCCTCAACTGGTTGACGCTTCATAATCACCGATCATACACTCACATTCAAATATGAATGGAAATTCACAATCAGTTTCTTGTGTTTACTGTTAAACATCGTAATATCCTTTGCCTATATATCAAGGCAGGCCGCTTTAACTCCAGATTAAAACACCTAACTCCAATCACAGTCATTTTCTCAAGAAAATCGCATATAAAGGTGACATTTTATCAGCCATGTTAATTTTGCTTACTCTGGAAGCCATTGTGTTTGATAGGGACAAAACTGTGTCGGCGGAAGGTCTTAGTGAATATGTTTATAATACTGTTGTCCCAGTGCTGTGGACACATCAGCAATGCATGCAGAATTTCTTCGCTGTTCTGTTGAACACGAGGGGATTTGGAGACTTTTAGTAGTGATTTTTACTAACTACTATGGATAACCAAGATTGTAACTCCCCCTGTGCATCCTAGATTTCGGTTTCACTGGTATTGCTGAGGAAGTGAAATCACCGTAAGCCAACGGTGTTGTTGGTCCTTCTTGCTTCCCACGCTGCAGTCTACGCTACTCAGACTATGTAGGCTACAGAATCTACAGGCCCTACGGGTGCGTATACTGTACTCGCCCAGTCCGGCTACATGTGACCACGCAATGTTGTGACTGTGCGTTGCTAATAATGTCTAGTCATTTTGCCGTGACTGCCAGTCCATGGCACTTAGGCTTTAAACTAGATCTCCCTTTTCTCTCTCTCTTCTAATATGCCTAATTATCCAAATATGCATGCTTATGCGGAAGGAAAGTGTGGTGACGTTAACTGATTCCGAGTAGAGAATAGAAGACGATTTTTCATGAAACTTTTAATCAGCACTCCTCGTCGATATGGACTAAAGCATCAACCATTTTCTCTACATCCGCCATCCATTTGAGTGCACGCTTCACCCAGTAACAGTACCACAGTTGGATAATTTCTAACCGTTTCTTATCTCTCTTTTGCAGCAAAACACTCCCGAACACATTGTTACCTGCTCAAGACTCGCCTTTTGTTGAAAGTTAGCTTGACTCAGTTGTTATTCCACAATTATGACCAAAGGGAGTGAGTTCCTTGCCCTGTCACCTCCGATCTACCCTTATGTTATCTAATGTTGACGAATGTTTGGTTGTTATTCGTGCGTATTACCTAGAGCCACTGGCTGCACTCCCTTTGAGTTTTGTCAATTGAAATGGTTTTTGCAAACGTGCACCACTTTGATGCCGCTGCGCTCTAGCTAGGATTCAGTGATCACAACAGAATGTGTGTCAATCTTCAGAGGTCATTTGTAGCGAAGTTTTGCGCTTGCCATCTTCGATTGACTTTGTTACCCCCATTCTCATCCGCTGAGCTGAAATGTAAAGTAAGGTTGTTCTCATTTCCGGAAATTAGGCATCAGTCACTTTTGGAGCTGTTTTCATTCATGACTAAGTGATCGAAGGGCCGAATGCATGACTGATGCGGGTAGACGCTACCTGGCGCACAGTGCAAAGTAGGCCGTCACCAAGTGGAAAGGTTGTGGTAACTGTCCATTTTGATAGGTTTGCTTAACGTTAATTAGTAGGGTTTTTAATATTCGATACTCAGTCGAGTGTGTTTTATATAAAATCTGCCGTGTTGGATGTGCAAATTATCTCGAGGTACAAATTGTTAGGCGGTTTCTGAAAAGAACCTTCTTTGGTGATCCTGAAACTCCAGTGTCCAAGTCCACATTGAATTGTCACCTTAAAGCCGAGCCCATCTTGAATATTAACGGTACAATCAGTAAGATTGCACGCCTCATCTCACTGCACTGAGGATGCCACCTCGCAAAGTGGTGAAAGGTTTACAAGCAAACCGCTGAGCTTGGAGAACAAATAAACAATTAAAATAACAGAACAAGTTAAGAGCAAGTACCTGCTTATTATAAAAACTTTGCCTTTTACGCTCGTTTGGGTAGGGAGGATGGAAAATCTGTTTAGGCAGTTCTAGCGGTGATATGGAAGATGTGCATTACCGATCAACATGTGGCCATTGTGCTGCTGTTTCGTGTCACCAACTGCTCACGCTAAAAGCGATGTTCCCCCATGAAAGTCGGGAATAAAGTATTTAATTACTCGTCTAAGCCCTAATTTCGCCCTCACATAACACTTCATGTGACGCATTCCGCTTTTTTCCCCTAATGTTCATTCCATATGTCCTGTGAAATAGTGTACTTCTGATATGGTGAGGCAAAATGAAGGTGGACCTCAGATTACAACTTGCTCTCAACTGGATATTACTCCTTGTGAATATACATGGGCACTTAGATTTCACAGTCTGTGTCTTTGAGGCTATCTGAAGGCCGGTATCTGATTAATTACCCTGCATATTTTCCTACAGGGAGGCATCTACTGTCTGACTTGCATTGCGATTTCACGGGACTGGTTGTGACAACTACGGCTCATTTTCACTACAGGTTCAAGTAACTGCTTTTCTGTTTTCTTCTCTTTATTCCAGCTGCTTGTTAGCAGGAATAGTCATTTGCTAATCATCGTAATTTATTCCGCCAGGCCGGTGGCCGAGTGGTCTGCACGTTTGCTTTGCAACCATAAGGTCACCGGTTCGAATCCGCGTAGGGGTGGGCGTCCTCGCGGTAAACTCAGCCCGCGCGCGACTGATGGTGGTCGCGCGGCAGCGAAGCGCCGTCACGGCGTACAGCTGACACATTATTATTATTATTATTATTCCGCCCGACAAGGGAAACAGGCAGCAGGAAAGTTGGCGTTAGCGATACCATAGGCAATGACAGTGAATAGTCAAACCACAGACTATCAAAACGCTTGTAGCATTGGGACCAACATTTTGCATAGCAATGTAACCAGCTTGAGTTATCGCTTTCTTTTTCTGACATTGAGCGCCCTTCTCCCTGGACCGTCTCATTGGATTCGTGCTCATGCGTAAGACTTGAACGTGAGATCAGATTGTTGAAATTGCATAAAGCCGCAGATGGAATGTCCCCCAAACCTCTTCAAATGCTTAGGACCTGCTTTTCTAGGTGATTTACACTAGCTTCTATTAGAACTTTGGGAGCAGGGAACTGTCGCGACAGAATGGAGTCGCTTCGCTACACTTCCAATTTTCAAGAAAGGCTCTTGTTCGGAATGCGGAAATCATAGAGTGATCAGTCTGATCTCAATTGTCTCTAAATTGCTTGCGTCTGTCGTTCACCAAAGACTGACTGGCACTCGTGAAAGCAGGTTCGTGAGGAGCAAGCCGGGTTGCGTCTATTTTGGGGCTGCATCGACCACTTCTTCACTTTGCGTCAATTGTTGGAACACCACCATGTTTATTGTCGAATCACATGTCGATCGACATAATAGGTGGCCTCGATTTGGTGGATCGCTGTGCCCTTTGGGACTGTCTGCTGAGGAAAGGTGTGTCCGATAAATACGTAAACATTATCAGAGCGTTGCACGCACGTAGTTCGGGCAGAGGAAGGGTTAACGGCTACCCGTCGCAGCCCATCAGTATCTTCAGCGGTGTGAGACAAGGTTGCTTGTTTTCACTTTACCTCTAACTTCGCCGTTGACGAAATCATGGAAACAGCGTTTGCTGGTCACGACTTAGAAGGCATGGAGCTATTTTCTGGTGAGCGACTTGGAGTATGCGGACGATATTGCCCTAATCTGCGACCAGAGGCGTAGCATAGGGGGGTGGGGGTGCGGTAAGCCCTAGGCGACATGCGACAGAGGGCGGCATTTTTCGGCACCGATGATTGTTCAATATCAAGTGTAAATTCATCGAAATTACCTGCATGACTGAAGTGGTAAAAATGAAGAGTGATAATCATACTAAGACCGAAGGTGAAATTGGTACTACAAACGTTGATCTCTCCGGAAGACAGTAAGTAATAATGAAAGCATGAATGTATGGAGAAATGTTTGTAATGCTGATGCAGAAGATGCACGCGAAGTTGCAGAAATGGAAGTACGACCACACTTGGCAATCATACTACTCACATCAATCGAGCTTATGGATTTCTTTCAATGGTCTGTTAAGATTGACTACGCAATTCTCGCTATGCTTATCCGACTCTTATTTATTGTCGTGAAGCACGACGATCATGAATTTTGTAAGTGGTGCTACCTGGAATGAATACCAAGCTGAGGCTCAGAAGTTAACAACGAACTCTTCTTTTCGAGAGTTGCGAGAAAACGAGCAAAGATTTCGAACACAGATTAGGTATTCTCCATTAAAATAGGCCATGTTTTCTTTCAGCGGCGGGATTTCTTCAACTAGATAGTCTTTTATTTCGACTGCTGAAAGTTTCAGAAACTGGTAGAAACTAAATCCAAAAGCATCTGAACATAACTCTGGTAACTTTTGTGCTCAGTCATACCCCAACAGCATGCAGCTGGCAATCGGGCTAGTTGAAGGAAGGCTATTATAGCAACGGGCGTGAAATTGTGGATAGAATAGTTGATATCGCCAGGTTTCCTGTCGAGCAAAAAAGGACAGTGTGTGGTCTCTGAGACTCATCCAGCATTATTAAAGGAAGCCGGGAAAAAGGAGGGAATTTTTCAGAATATGTACCTTTGTTGGCCAAGTATGAGCTTGTTCGTGGAAATTTGGTAACAGTTCAGCTAGAAAGGATAATCAGCAATTTTATTTGCCACCACATGTCCGAAATCCATTAGTGAGCATTTTGGTAAATCAAGTGAGAAAGAAAATCGTAGATCAGCATCATCATCATCATCATACATGTTAGCTAGAGGTGGGAAACACCTCAGCTACTGTGCCGCAATACATAGAAAAAAGGAGAAAAAATGCAACTGGTGCAAGCTGGCTGAGCTACCAGTAACGGATGGGCATCGTTCCGGTAAGCTACCAGCCGGCTGCTGTGCATCAAGAAAAAATTACTATGCAAAATTATATAAGGCTAAATAATGAGATCGTGGTTGGAGGGGGAGGCTAAGAGGGACGGAGTGGGACAAAGAAACTCACAGCACGAACGCCACTGAGGCCGGCTCCTAGTCATATAAGCAGGTGTGTCCAACCAAACGTGTTCATCGTCTTTCGGACCCCAACCAGGGAGCCGAGACGTTCCAACTGAGGCCAGCTCTCGACCAAGTCATCGCTTGGCCACCCCTCCTCTTCTTCCATCCACAACCACGACGCGCAAACAACATACGTCGCGGAAGTCGGTGGGCTGGCATGCGTGGATTAGGTCAAGGAAAACAAGTTTCATCGCTTTATTTTTGATAACACTCTCGATGTATTTCACAAAATTTAATGAGTGAAAATGAAGTGAGGTTAGGGGAGTTGTTTCTCAGCTCCATTGAGACTAACAGTGAAATTATAGAGAAAATTTGTGAATTAGCATTGAGTGATGCATCTTTACTTTCCCCCTCGATATTTTCGTTACCGTTTATTTCGTTTCTGAGCCTATGGAGATCTATTCTCATAGAAATCAAGAAATGTCTGAACAAACGGGGTTGGATCTGCAGCAAAGTGCTGTCATGCTACAAATGACAAGCATTTTCCTTCTTCAGAATAGAGAAATAATGGTTGACACTGCAATGGATAACTCAAAGAAACACTACAATGAGTTGGATAGGAGCATGGAGTGTCGAGTCCGCCGAAAAAGTGAATGCACTGAGAAGCATCATTTGATATCTCGATGATATATCGATTAGTTAAAACCAATAAGGTTGTCTGGCATGGACAGTTGGACTGACAAAATTCCGTGGATTTCAGCAACTTCAGGACCTTGCAGACAAATATGCTTTTCTTACACTGTTAAATCTGCGTGATAATAACTATGATTGTTCGCTTAGTGAAGTTGAGGAAGATATAGAAAAAAGAAATTCCTTGTCGAAAGGGGAATGCTGTATTTTGTGCAAGCTACAGGAAACGATAAAATTAGTGAATCTTATGAACTTTTGAACGACATACAGAAACCTCACTTTTGAAATCTGTTACGCATCTTACTCGAACTATTAGTACAGCTAGCTGTGAGAGCACATTCTCTAAAAGCAAGCTTATGACGAACTACCTTCAATCAGTAATAAACCAGACAAGGCACACGGATTAACAATTCTCCC